GGAGCATGATTGTTATGTTTAGTATTGCAAGTTAGCAATGTTATTTATAGAAAACAAAAGGTTTCAATTCATGAAGTTGTGGGGGTTGAAAAGTTGTTTTGCTATAATTAAGGGAGAGGAAATTATATTTCATTCCAGTTCTAAAAGCTTAGATTGTAAGTTTTTTATCAAATTTAGTCATGATTACATTATTTGCGTTCTAAAAATTCGATTATGATTATGGCATCCCTTTTCATAATCTAAATTATGAGAACATGGCAAATAGAAATAGAAATATTATAGCAAAAGAATGGTCTAATATCATGTCTTTATGTGAGACATAATGAATCGTGTCTCATATGCTTCAGATATAGGATCGATTACATGTGCTATAATATTCATATGTTCTAAATTTTTCCAAGTGCCTAGGGCATTAAGATGGAAAAAGTACTACAATTGGATATGACTAAAATGATTAAGCAATTGTCGAGAACAATCTGAGGTTACCAAAGATTGGTTGCTCATGGACAGTTGGAAGTATAGTGTAAATTTTGGAAGGGCCATATTGACATATTCTGAAAAGAGGCAACTCTTGTTCAAAAATGGTAGTCAAAATAGGAATATGGAAATGTTTCCATAAGTGGAAATTATTCTTTAAATCTGTGTAATATTAGAAAACTTAATGCAAGAAGGATGTTCAAAAGAATGTACTTTGAATGTGAGACTTCGTTTCCATGGAATTGCTCTTCATTGGAATACTTTGTAATGTTTGTTGCCAAGTCTTTGTGACTTTTGTGCATAGTCATTACAAGAGGATCAATGCATATAAGTTTAGAATCTAACAGATTTCAGTAATTGGCAAGAATTTGGTATTTCTTACATTTACGATAAGGATTTGGAATTGTGAAATGAGCATTATTTGAAATGTTGTAAATTGATCTATTCCACAAAGAAATGACCATAGGTAAACATAGTGTGCATGCTTGGAGCATGGCATAACTATTGTTTTAATTCAAGTATTAAGCTGATTATCCGAAACATTATACAATGAATAATGAGTAATCAATATGACTCAAAGGTGTTTGGGCCATATAAGATTAGTATTATTATTGTGTTTCACTTTGCATGTTTTGACTTCCCGAATAACTAGGTTATTCAAACCATCCACAGTCAATCATACTTTGGAAGTAGGTATTGAGGCAAGACTGTCATGAATGGGTCTGTAGTTTGTCTAGGTGGCCTAGACATAGGTGAGGTGTTCATGAGTGCTCCTAGAATGAGATTCGAGTATTGGATTAAACCCACGCTCATTTGACTCACTTCATGGATTTTATCACGAGTGATCATGAGACGATAATATCTTATATTCTTCAAACCAAGAGATACGAGTTGCAGTCTACAAGTCGGTTACACATTGATTATGTGAAAACGCACCAGTAAATTGGTGTTATAAAACGCATTTTTGTGTGTGATTTGATAAGTATATAGAGCAAGCATATGAGTGGAAGTTTATCCATTCCTTTTACCCTTACAGGGATAAAAGCGATATCTGTGGGCCCCTCGATGATTTAGTGATGACAAACGTAAGTGCTCGGCCGGGCCTGGACTGATTTGATTTGTTCAATTAGTCAGTCGTTATATATCGGAAATCGGGAAACAACAGATGAACAGAGAGAATGATTATAATCCATGTCTCAGTCCATATGATATCTAGAATGGAGGAATATATGATCCCTTATCTAATGGACAAGTCATTGACTAGGTCAGAGTTCGACAGCGGCTTTTAAGAGCTACGATTGCTAGTCGGGTTTTGGAGTCATACTTGCAATAATAGTTTTAGACTTATCTAAGTGGGAGACTGTTGGATTAGATGTCTAAGCCCATAACTATTATTGGTATGTACTCGACCCGAGAGTAGCATGGTCCATTTGGGCTGCATATCATCAGGACAATTTGTTAGGATAGACTCTTGAGAGAAGGTTATATATGATTTATTAATATATTATAAGTTCTAATATATTAATATGAAATTATATGTTTTAATTAGTATTGATCAATAATTAATTTATTGATCAAAAGAAACTAATTAAATCTATGGGGACTAATTATGGTAATTAGTTATATTTATATGTGTTGGGCTTATGATCCATGTTGGACCAAGCTTATGTATGGATATATAAAGACTTGGGCCACATGAACCATGGATCATAAAACCCATGGGTATGGATTTGGGTTATACCCATGACCCTTGGAATCCTACATATAAATAGGTGAGTACATAGCCAAAAAACGTGACTGATGTTCTTGGAGTTCATATGGATGGTTTTTGGTGTATGAAGATTCTCTCTCAAATATCTACCTTTGTCCATGATGTGTTGTGACTTCATTTGAGGCTTCCACACTATTGGGGCTAAGCTCTTAAGGCCAAATACATGAAGACTTTAAGCTACATAAAAGGTATGTTACCCTAACTAGTATCTTGTATGGTTTATATCAAATGCATGCTTGTTATATGTTTAATGCCTTGGAAACCATTTGCATGTGTAATTAGTGAAAACATAGATCCAAGGTATTTAGGGTTGTATGTGAACCATAGGATGTTGTAGTATACCAAACCTATCACTCAAGGGAGTTAGAGCCTTTAAATATGGCTTAAACCCCCCCAAGATTAGGGTTTTAGTCTTGGGCAGCTACACGCTACGTAGCTTGGTCTACGCCCTGTGTAGATCATTAAGTCCCCACATCAAGATTCCCTCATATGCGCTGCAAGGACCGGGTGTTAAAAATGAAGTTTATACAGAGCAGCCACTTGTAGTTAACACCACATGTTTTATTAGAACTTGAATACAACTTCATCAAATTTGATACAACTAATAATATTTCTGTCAAATAAGCATGACATTCATTAGTTTTGTAATTGACAATCAGCAATTTCAACATCAATAGATAATATGAATAATATTTTTTTTTCTTTAATTTAAAAAAACAAAATTTCATTCTAGCGTTTCTTCAAACACTTTCTGTGCATGTAAAAATGCAAACAATAATGTTTTGTTGGTTTGTTCGGGGCCTTCTCGTTATATTAGATAACAAGAATCTTAATTTTTGATTTAAATTTTGTCTCAGCTGAATGGCTTAAGCATTGATTTTACTCTCGTTTCCTTTTTCTCGAGACCCACTAAGATGATGAGTATCACTACGGTGTCACTGTTGGAGCCAAATGTTGCAACTGATATATAGATGAGGTCTTGGATGATTATGTCCAAGATTATGTGAATGGTTTTGGTGCATCTAGACCTGAGATCAATAAAAAACGATGTTGTTGCTCCATGAGAAGTATCCTACGACTTAAGATCGAGACTTGACACATGGTAAGACAATATGCATTGTTGTGTTGTCTTCCATGCAGGGCCGGTACAGACGGTGGGCAACCCGGGCGACCGCCCAGGGCCCACGTCTCCAGGGGCCCAAAATTTATGGGCTATATAGTGTATATATATATATATATATATATATATATATATATATATATATATATATATATAATTATTATTATCTAAATGATTTTTAGGGCCTGAAGTTGGTTCAAACTCAACCTAGCTCAAAAGATAAACAATTTGGCTTGCTTGTTATTGCTAATTGAACGCGTTTATAGTGAAGAATAAATGATATTTTTTTGAATCTTTAGTATATTTGTCTTTAAATGACCATTTTTTTCTTTTCGCCCCGGGCCTCATATACGTTTGGACCGGCCCTGCTTCCATGCTGACATAAGTGAGGTATACTACCACTAAGACTGTGTGGAGTGGCTTCAACATGAGCTTGGTGTTTGCTGAGTTACCTTGGCAAACAATATCCCTCTATCTCGGCATGTCGAGCTCTCAGAATGTTGCTGTCGAGTCTTTCCTCTCTCCTTTCTTACCCATACTCTTTCTTGTCGCCTCGCACTCCGACTACTTGGCAAACTCCCTCGACAAATTGAGGTGGAGGTGAAAAAGGCTGAGTTGGAGCTCGGTAGTGCCATGTGTGTGATTCTGGCCCTATTCCTCTCAACCTAACTACATCCCAAACCCACCTTATATAGAGGTGTTTACATGTCTCTCTCTCTCTCTCTCTCTCTCTCTCTCTCTCTCTCTATCTATCTATCTATCTTTTCATGTCACAAGGGGGAGTTTTGGATAGAAAAAATCCGAATTGAGCGATTTCTCGTTCCCTTTTTAGTTTTATAATCATTTTTCGATTATAAAAAGGGGGAGAGATTTAGATATGGAAATCCGAAAGTTGAATTTTTATAAAACCAAAATCAGATTGGAAAATTGTGATTTTTTATTTTGGAAAATACCAAACCATTGGTTTTTTATTTCTGTTTCGGTTTTTCATTTTTTTTAATATATTTTTCGGGGTTTTGTTTTTTTATTTCATAGATTTTTTCATCAACAAATGTTGCTACAATTTAACAAAAATAAATAATTTGCTAAAACATAATACAAGAGGAAGTTTGTTCACATTTAGTCATTGAACTTTTTTAGAGGGTAACGAACTTTCGATTTTGTTCACATTTAGTCACTAAACTTTTTTTTCGTTATCTATTTACCACTGAACTATTGAAATTGTTCACATTTTACCCTTATGACTGGTAACAACCGGTCATAAGGGTAAAATGTGAACAGTTTCAATAGTTCAATGGCAAATAGATAACGAAAAAAAATTTAGTGACTAAATGTGAACAAAGTCGAAAGTTCGTTACCCTTTCAAGTCATTATCCATATTAGTAATTGCTATCTTCTATTTTATTTTAGTTGCATGAACGTTCCAATTATTTTATTCTGGACTATGGCACTATGGATTATGGACAACACCAATGTTGTACAAATCTAATTTTAAATAATTTTTAAAAAAATCGGAGATTTTGGGATATGTGAGATCCAACTGCTAGTACACTATCTTCAGTTCTTCACAATACAGATTACAACTGAAAAGAGGCTCAAACTCGCCTCCATTTCTCAACATCAAACAGAAAAATGTTAGCCTTTCTTTGCCTGATTTTGCAGCTATCCAATAACATTGCCTACGCCTCCACAACCAGAGGGAAACACATAATCATACTGGCCGGACAAAGCAACATGTCCGGCCGAGGCGGCGTCCAGAACAACACCTGGGACGGCGTTGTACCTCTTCAATCTAAACCCAACCCCTCAATCTTCCGATTAACTTCGAATCTCAGTTGGATCGAGGCTCGTGACCCTCTTCACAAAGACATTGATGTGAACGCAACATGTGGGATAGGTCCCGGAATGGCGTTTGCTAACAGAGTGTTGGATAGAAATCGGAGTCTGGGTCCATTGGGTTTGGTTCCATGTGCAGTCGGAGGTACACGAGGGACCAAGATTAGCGAGTGGCGAAGAGGGAGTTTCCTGTACAAGCAGCTTTTGAGGAGGGCGTCGGTGACTCGGAGAGGCGGTGGGTTGATCGGAGGGATTTTGTGGTTTCAAGGGGAGAGTGATACAGTGAGTGAATTGGATGCGCGTATGTATGGAAGAAGGCTGATCAATTTGTTCAATAATCTTCGTGCTGATCTTGGATCCCCTTTGCTCCCTATAGTTCATGTAAGTTTCCTGTTTTTAATTTCAACAAATTTGATGAAATTTCTTTTAGAATTTTTAGAAGATTATTAGATCGTATTATGTCAACAAAATGGATTTAACTTAAGCTTTAATTTTTTTTTATATAATTAGTATATATATTTTTTTAACAACATTAAAAATTTATAACCTAGTAGATGAACGGTTATATATTTTATACATTAAACTCACAAAAAAGAGATAAGAATATTTTTGGTGTTTTTTCATGATAATTTTAAATTAATATAGATATTAATAATATTCGATTAGTTATTTTAAAGAATTTGTAATAATATATTTATGATTTAATGTATTAAAAATAGTGAATATCCTTTTGTTCGGAGTAATCTTAAACACAGTCACATGGCAGTGGATCCAAGCGCACACCCACAAATGCCATCGACTACGCTGTGTAAACAAAAAATAATTTATTGAGATAATAAAGATATATACTATAATTATTTTTTGAACTGTTATTGAAGAATTATATTAAATAAAAACTAAAACAGTTAGAAAACTACTACATATAAAGCTTAGTAAAATTGTAATATATGAAAATGACATGATCATTAAAAAAAATGGTAAAATGTACTATTTGAGCGGCTCACGTGAAATTTTAGACCTTATCTGTGAAATTTTGCCCATAACAGACATGTAAACTCTAATCGCAGAGACTAATATAAATAAAATGAATTAAATACAAAATGATCTAAACGTTAAGTGTCATAATATCAAATTTCCATTTTATCCATTTATCATATATTTCGCATAAATTAATTTGCAAAACTGTTTTAATTTACCAAAACTACTTTTCTGACCATTTATGAATAGCTTCGTGTTTGTGAAATTATTTAACCAAATAAATAAACAATTTGAGTATGGTAATTAATAAAGCAGTCCTACAAAGTAAAGTAATTTTGAATAACTTATTTTAGAGAAAAAAAAAACAAATTTATCTTAATTTCCTAATCGTTTTCCAATAGCCAAAAAAATTAAAAGCTAACCCAAATAGCAACTAAATTCATAGGTGGAGCCTTATGGACTACGATTTTTGTCTAATGGGCTGCAATTTCGGTCCTCATATGCGATTTCGTGTATGATTTCTCACGGTGTGACTACAAGAAATACATATTTTTTTTATAAAATGTAGTTTTATCAGCTTTTTTTTTTTAATATGACATTAACTTAAAAAACCATAAGTTCACATTCTAGTAAGTTTTTGGTTGTCATTTGCACCGGTGGGAGGTGGCAGATTGTTCATGATAAGCCAAAAACATGTTTGGCTTTCGTTAAGAATTATGGAGTACAATTTTCGGCAAATATAAGTTTTTCTGATTTGTTTTATTTGGTGAAATAGAAGACCAATTTGGTAGACAAAGAAGATATTAATTTGTCCTTCGAACATCGTAAAAATGCTCTATGTTATAAACATACTTGATGATAATGATTGTTGTCACTTGATGACTTGATCAATGAAATTCAATGTGTTAGAAACATTGTACATACACTTATGTTTGAAAGTGATGGTGATAATTGAAGTAACGAAAAAGGAAAGGACTAATGTGATGTTACAAAGGTAATTTTCCCATGAAGAGGCATATAGCCTATACATTAATATATATAAGAAATACACAATTGGGCTAAATGTACAAGATTGGGCTAACTAAAAAATAATATACAAATACATATGACGTCTAACAACCCCCCGAAGTCTGAAGACTACACACGTAGTCTGAACAGGAGGTCTGGAACGGACATTCATACTAGATCTAAAGTCGAGAAATAAAGAAGATGGGAGCCCTTTAGTGAAGATGTCAACATTTTGAGAAGATCAGGGAACATGAAGACCCAATGCAACTTTGTCGCGCACAAAGTGTATATTGATCTCTATGTGTTTTGTGCGTTGGTGTTGAACTGGATTAGTAGATAGGTAAATTGCACTGACATTATCACAGAAAACTAGAGTAGCAGTAAGAGGAGGATAATATAATTCTCGTAATAAGTTGCGAAGCCAACTTGTTTTCGCCACCGCATTTGCAACTCTACGGTACTCGGCCTTGCACTAGATCTCGAAATAGTGCCCTGTCTTTTAGAAGATCATGAGAGTAAATTCTGACCGAGAAAAACACAGTATCCAGAAGTGGAGCGCCTGGAAGTCGGGCAACCAACCCAATCAGCATCCGAATAGGCAATGATACCACGAGCTGGAGAAACATATAACTATAAACCATGATCCAAAGTACCCTAAATATATCGTAAAATTCGTTTGAGAGCAGTAAAATGGGGCTCTTTGGGGTCATGCATGTAGAGGCAAGGCAGACTTTTTGAACAACGTATGAAATGTCTGAGGGAGTGAATATCAATTATTGAAGAGGCCCCGCGAGACTACGATATAAAGTCGGATCCTCAACTGGGAGCTGTACCATCAATTTTTGCAGAAGTATCTGCAGGAGTGCGAGCGGGTTTGCAATTCGACATCTTTGCTTGAGCTAGAATCTCTATAGCATAGTTTTGTTGAGATAGAAACATTCCATGACGATCTCTAGTGACTAAAATACCAAGAAAGTAGTTTAAAGAGCCCAAGTCAGTCATCAAAAATTCTGAACTCAAGGTGGTGATGACCTGCTGAAGGAGATCAGTGGAAGATGCAGTTAACACAATATCGTCAACATATAGAACAAAGTATGCAATATAATCTCCCCGTCTGTATATGAAAAAAGATGAATCATATTTGCTGTTGAGGAAGCCAAATTGACTGATAAACTGAGCAAATATGTGATACCACGCTCTAGGGCCTGCTTGAGACCATAAAGCGATTTCTGCAAAAGACAAACATGATTAGGAATGGAAGGGTGTCGAAAACCCGGTGGCTGGTGCATATACACGATCTCCTGAAGATGACTGTGAAGAAATGCATTCTTCACATACTGGCCAGTGATGGGAGACAACAAGGCTAAGAACAGTTCGAATAGTAGCCGGTTTAACAACCGGACTAAATGTTTCATCACATGCTTAGTTAATGCCTGAATGAATGCCTGGACGCTGACTGCGTCCATTTGCAACTAAACGTGCCTTGTATCGAGCTAAAGATCCATCTACATTAAGTTTCTTTTTGAACAACCAAATACAATTAACCACATTAGCATTGGAAGGCCGAGGTACAAGTAACCCAAGTTCCGTTAGAAATAAGTGCATCATATTTATCTTTCATGACATTTAACCAGTTAGGATCTTGAAAGGCTTGGGAGTAGTTGCGAGGAATAGGAGAAGAAGATATAGTGTCGGCATGAAGATTGAAACGATCAATAGGTTTATGGATGCCCCATTTGGCACGAGTAACCATGGGATGGGTGCTAGTGGGTTGGGAATCCAGAGGCCTAGGGGCATCCGAGGTGGGATAAGTAGACCGAGAGGAAGAAACAGGAGGAGTAGGATTGATCGACGACATCGAGGAGGAGGAAGACCCCGTTGTTGTAGCAGCGACGCCAACGAAAGTAGGGTGTCGGCGCAGGCAGAACTGCCATAATGATGGGTGTCAGAGGTTGAAGATGGAGGAGATTGGATGGTATTATGGAGGGGGTTTAAAGGAGTGTTTGGGTCATTAACCAAGTTACGAGAGTCACAAATATCAAGAAAATCATATGAGGGGGATTCATCTGGAGTCAGATCCGAAAGGAAAGGTTGTTTCATCAAAGGTGATGTGTCTCGAGATAATAATTTGTTTAGTTTGGAGGTTAAGACAACGAAAGCTTTTGTGGTTGGAGGGATAACCAAGGAATATGCATGGAATAGATCGATGTTCAAGTTTGTTGGTTTTGGGTAGGTGTAGGTAGCAGAGACAACCGAACACACGAAGATGAGAGTATGTAGGTTTAGTATGAATTTTTTTTCGATAAGAGGTATCATTGTGAAGGGTAGTGGATGGTAAGATGTTTAAGAGATGTGTGGCTATGTGGAGAGCTTCCACCCAATTTGTAGGGGGGAGGGGGGATGAGCTTGAAACAAGAGGGTGCGCATCATATTATTTAGAGTAAAGAGCATACATTCCGATTTTCCATTTTGTTGGGAAGTGTAAGGGCACGAGAAACACATGTGGATATTATTAGATTCACACATTTTATGAAATTGTGCGTTGTACTATTTACCATTGTCACATTGAAATGTTTGAATTTCTGTTTGAAATTGATTTTGAACATATGCACAAAAATGAAATTTAGAAAATCCATCAGCTTTCAATATAAGAGGCTAAATTGATCAAGAAAACTAACATAATATTTTATTCCACTATGACTTCGTAAAGGAGAAGTCCACACATCAGAATGAACAACTTGAAAGGGAGATGAAGCATTAGTTTTAGATAATTGAAATGACAAACAAGTATGCTTGCCAAGTTGACAAACATGACAAAATAAAGTAGAATCCTTTTTATTACATGAAATAGAATTGCTAGAAATTAAATGGCTAAACACGGATTGACCGGGGTGACCAAGTCTTTGGCGCCACAACGAAGAGCTTAAACTGAGAAGAGCTTGAGGAGTGGAGGTGGACACATGATAGAGATCACCCGTGCTATCACATCAAAGGAGGATACGTTTGGTGCAAAAATCCTTCATAGAAAAATCAAACTCGTCAAATTTGATAGAACATTTGTTATCTGGAGTAAATTGACGCACACAAATGAGATTTTAAATAATTTAAGGGGTAATAGGAATATTTTTTACGACAAGATTATGAAAAGGATTTAGAGGAATGAGATTGAGCAATTTTAGTGACATGAAGACGAGATCTATCGTCGACTAATATAGATAAATTTGAATTGTTGCACGTATTGCTAAAAGACTTGAGAACACCTGAATCAGCGTGAAGGTGCGCGGTTTCCCCGGTGTCTATGAACCAATCTACATTGTTCGGATCTTGAAGGGCCATGGTGTTGAACGCTTGCGGTAATGCAGTCAGTTGATCAATACTATTCGGGTGTTGAAACC